CCACCCTCTTTGTAAGTAGCGATGGGATCGACATGAGCTGTGAATTGTATGTGTACAAAACGCGAATGGACGTGTTTGACAAAGTTTCATATTAAAAACTTTGCGCGAGAGTATCTTTTCAAAAAAAAAAAAAAAAAAANAATTTTTACAATTCTCTACACACAGAGTTACTCCCCGTTTTTAAGTTAAAACAAAAAAAAAACTCTTCTTTAAATCTTAAGTTTCAAAAAACATTTTACTGTTTCTCGCAATTTTATTTGTTTATATGTTTACAAACGCACACTTGAAAAAAACGAGAAAAGTTTTATCTCAAATTCTCGATTCTCTGTATGTAAATCTAAAATCTGCTATTTTCCATATATTTGACGGCATTTTTTCCCGACGTTCGCTTTTTTCCCCGAAATTCGTTTCGTATCATCGCTCTATCTCCCCATCCCTCTCTTCTTCCCGTCAATTCTTTCCCATTCTCCGCTCGTAGATTACGCTCGTCGTACGAAACTATTTTTCTCTTCAATAGGACGAGATTATCGATTGCTCGCAGCGAAAGCACCGCGTAATCCGTCCTCGGGGAAAGGAAAAAAAACGCTCGCAAGCAGCGAGATTCGACGCGTTAATGGTCGGGAAGAGAGTCGGGAAAAGGACCGAGAGAGCAGCGAAAGGGACAAAACGTGGGAGAGCGACGAAAAACCAGAGAGGAATTAACGCGCTTCGCCCTATTCGGAAAAGAAAAACACAATCGAAACGGCGATTTCTGGCACGTGGTGAAAAAAAAAAAAAAAAATTGGCCGGACAAGCGAAGACCGAAAAGAATCACGGCGGGTGTGATTTAATTACTGTCTGTGAAAAGAGAGTCGTCTAGTTTTATAAAAAAAAAATTGTTATATTTGAGAATTAAAAAAAGTCAGACTAAAACTGGGCGTGCTTTTTCGCGAGATAATTAATATCATAATCAAGGAAAAATGTGAAATGAAAAAATGAAGAATTGAAAAAAAAAAGAATTTTTTTAAACCAAGAGATATATTGTCATCGGTAACGTCAAATCCGACAATGGCTTAATGCCGATATTCTCGGTGAAATAAAATTAAAAAATGAAAGAAAAAAGAACCCGGAAAAGAAGATGCAGCAAAATACAAGCGCTCGCGCGAGAAAATGAACGAAACACCTCTTTGTAAGTATAGCGACGGGAATCGACATTGTGTATCATCAGTAATACACGTGTATATGTGCGCTTTCAAAGAGTGACTCGTCGTAATCTTATTTTCTCTCTCTCTCGCGTCGCACACAAATGAGAATGCAATTTTCGTTTTCAAAACGCCGCTTTCAAATTTGGCTCCTTTCGAACAGCAGCAAACACATTATCGCTAATTTCCGCTTCGTTTCGGATTCTCGCTCGGGCAAAATCCGCGCGGATCTCATCGAGCTTAATAAAACACGTCGCGCGCTAATCCGCCTACAAGGCTCGACGGGGGGGCGGGAGAGGGGTTTGGCCGGGACATCTCGCCAATTCGGCTCGATCCCCTCCGTGCTCACTGTTCGCTAATACCGACCGGTTTACGCGCGATTAGTTCGATTAAATTAGCGGCGCGTGCTCCGGTTTTGGGGTGTCAAGTTTACGGGTTTTAAACGCGGCTATTAATCCCGAAATATCATCGCGTGCATTGGGTGGGACGGGGAAAGAGGAGAAAAGGTGAGAGGGGGAGAAGACGCACCGTATTCTCGCGCGCGTGAATAATTGCCCTCGCGGACACACTAATCTGTCACGCGACACGTCGCGCTCGTTCGTTCTATGAGCAATTTACTTTTTCACGCTTGTCGCGAATCACACGTGCTTCTCACGTGACAGGATTTGATACATGCGTTTTTTTTGTTTTTTTTTTGTTTTTTGTTTACACAGAGAGTCTATGTGTTGCGTTTTGTAGAATTTAAATATTTGTACCGCACGCAGATCCTTGCTTGTATGTTAGATTATTTACACATTACACGGGCTCTTTTTCTTTCTCTTCTCTGTTATAATCACACATCAATTTTATTGCGTACGCGATTACAGGGAAAACATGGAAAAACCAATTCGCAGTACTTCGGTTTATACGAGCGATATTCAATGAATCGAGAGTATACATTTCGTAAAATGCGAGTCAATAAGAGCGCCACGATGGAAAAATTATATGGGAGGATGAGTTGCGCTAAAATTGGATCTGAATCGAACGCAATTTGAGTCTGATATCGCGTCACGATCCCGTGTTGCCAAGCAAACATACACATAGACACACATACACACACACACACACACACACACACACACACACCGAGAAAGAGAAGAGGACAGAAATGTATGTGTGTGTGTCTGCGTGTGCACAAGTTTCTAAGTAAAAATGTCATTTCTAAATGCTTTTGCGCGCACGCTTGTATATCGAGCAATAATTGCAACAATTGCATCGGCAATTGTGTCTGTTAATTGCGGCGAACTGATCTCTAATAGAGAACCACGCTTACAAACGCAACAATAGTGTATTTACCGATGATTGCGTGTGTATGTGTGTGTGAAAGATTATTATTGTTACACACACACACACTGCCCAATGTGTCAAATAATTATTGACATTATTTTATTTGCATAGTAAATGACATATTATGTAATTATTTGTGATGTTTAATTAACATTTAGAGTAATTCTATATTTATTATCTAATTTACAATAGTTACGTCATAATATAATAGTTACATAATTATGTTTATTAACATTTGTGAAGAATTGATAAAACACACACGCACATATTTAAATGTGTGCAAAAAAATTTATTTTTTACTTTACACGTAGCGCTTTCTAGTATTTACACAATTAAAATTTCTTCAGAGGCGCGCGAAACAAAATTACACCACTCGAAAACTTCCCGCTCCGATGTTTTTTTTTTTTTTTTCGGTTACTCGACGTTTCGATCTGTGATCGATCGATTAGCGAAGTTCGTGGATTGACGGTTCGCGCGGGACAGGCCGTGACGTTCGACGTATGTGCCTATCAATTGAAATAGTTTTAATCAACTTAACGGCCCGGAATTTATAGAGCGTTCGTAGAAACGAGTGGCTCGTTCGATGATGCTCGCGGCACTTTAATCGAATAAAAAGCCGCCGTAATACCTGGAACGGATAACCAATAAAGCTCTCGAACATTCCGAATTACACCCCAACGATCGTTGTATCATTTCGATAGAGAATTGGAAGCAGCACACTTCGGGGTCCACACACAAAGCTCTCCACCGAGAAACACACAACTCGTGTGATTTTCTTTCGCGCGGTTACAATATTCCCCGGCCTTTAATTCACATCGTTTCGGCGACTCGGTATAACGAAACCGCGCTCGCTCTCGTATACATACAACACCGATCGGGTTGAAAAGGGATATGGGGGGGAGGAGGGAGGGGGGAGGGAGGCGAGAGGGGAGGTCTAGGATTCTTGCCAAGTTGCAGTTGCATCGGAGACGGGAAGTGCAACTCGAGCTTATCGACTGTACCACGCCGTGGAAATCGCGGACAACACGATTTATTCGGCGGCGCAGCTGTTAAATTGCGAGACACGGGGAGAAAGCGGTTGCCGAACGGTCGATGTACGAACTGCACGATTCTCATAAATGTCAGCGTATAAACATCAAACTCGAATGTGTGTGCTTCGATCCGTTAAATACCAACACCCGGTGTGCTGGGACTCGAGTTTTCGTTCGCGCGATCGAATCGAAACTAACAATCAATCAAACGACGCTACAATCACAGAAGGAGAAATCGATATTTTAATCTTTTCAATAGTGCAAAGTTGTAAATTCAATATTTTGCAAGAAAACGTCAGGCGTTCAAGTCTAGTGTCGAACACACGAAAGTAACAAAAACGTTCTGTATCGTTTTTTTTTCTTTTTTTTTAATTATTATATATTTTTCTAGTCTTTCTTTTGTTCGCGCTATCTCGAAGCTCGGAATTTATTTATTTGCGTTCGTGTTTTCGCTCTTTTGTTGCGTCCGGGTAGGAGCCCCAGTAGGAGCGAAGGGAGGAGGAGGAGGAGGAGGAAGCGTGTACGAACGAACGAGCGCGAAAGGGCCCCGCGAATGAATGAAATTATGCGGCGGGAATTAATTGCGCGGGTAAGTCGTGCCGAGTCGTGCGAGTTGCGTCGGTCGGCAGCCCGTAATTAAATTAGCATGGTGAAACGTTCCGTGAGTTAAATGATTGTGTAACGGGACGCGCGCGCGGACTCGCTCTTTCGTGGCTCGCCGCACCGAGAACGCCGAATGAAACGCGCGCGCTCCGGATCCTCTTCCTGTTTTTTTCCTTCTTCCTTTCGTACCGCCCGACAGCCGCTGGGAAAAAAGGAAGAATAAAAAAAAAAACAAAAAAAAAAAAAAAAAACAGAACGTACACCACGAGGTGAAATACACATGTGTGCGCGCGCGCTTTCGTCCTCTCGACGCACAACTCCGGATTACAAAACGCGGATCCCCGAAATGTGCAATAATGCCGCTTTTTCGTATATCGCGTAACATATCCACGGCGGCGACCCGGGGTGGGATTTTAATCGTTCGTGTGATAAAAGTTTTTTATTAAATTTCATGTCGAGCAATGTGCAGTTGAGTCCCGTCGAGCTTCTATCTCTTGCGAGCGCGAAAAATTTGACAATTATTTTATTCGTGGATATCTGCAAAATAATATTTTGTTAAATTCTAATAACACAAGCTATAATTGAGCCGTCATGTCGATCTTGTTGATTAAATAATATTAATAATATTAAAAAGATTGAAAATTAAATATATAGAATTTTTATAACGAATAAGTAATTTTTATGACAAATAATTTTTCAAACACTAAAACTGTCTTAGATTTAAATCATCTCTTTTGTGAGGGGAGATTTAAATCTGAAAAAAGTCTCTGCGCTCCGCTTTTTTGCCAGAGATAGTTCAAATATTTTTGGAACTGTATACAGTTATATAGTAACGGCGCACACATATCTCTGTTTTCAGAGAGAACGATCAGATAATCGGCTCTTATTTGGAGATCGTGGATGTTAAGCTTGAGGATTATGGCGAGTACAAATGCGAGGTCAGCAATGGCGTTGACGAGGAACGGACGGTGACAGCTCACGTTCGACCAGGTCAGTAAAACTCTTCGAACATAATTCAATTATCTTTCGTTAATCATTAAAAACTTTGAGATCTTTAACAAACATAAAATAAAATTTTTAGACTCGAATTAATTGCAATTTAAATTTCAATTAATGTATTTAAATATTATATGTATCGTTTATACTTTTTAGATGTAAATTTGATATTTTTGCTGTGTTTTGAATTTGGATACGAATTTTACATACGTTCAATAATAGGAGTACGGATGATTGGTCGATAATTTGATACTTTATTGAATTTTATTTTACATTTTGTTCAATGTTCACAAATGTTGAATATTATTTACAGTAATTTTAAAGAAAAAAAAACGCACGAGTTGTTATTTTGATTAAATTTTCAAAACGCAACGATAGAGTAAACCGATCTCGCTTTGTTATTTACAGTTATTTGCCGTTATTGTTAATTACACTTTTAAGCACAGTGCGTTTATCCAATCTCGATGCATTATTCGCGCAAAAACAATCTACCATCATATTCATTCTAATAATCACTGGAAATGTTTGGAAAATAATATCAACCCCGATATATCCCAAACCAAGCTTATTTAATTTATTGATTTTAATTATTGTTATATGTGACAAATTAATTTCGAGCAAATTAGCAAGACACGCCGCTTAACGATGAAATCTCATTTTTTAATTGAACTTGAAATGAATTTTTTATTATTTTGTGGTTTTTTTTTTATACTGTAACACCCAATTGTTGGTTTCCGATATCGCGTACGTTTAAAAAATGTATCGCTTTTACGTTTCGTCGAAAGTTTCATGTTTTATTAGAGATAAAATATTCTCTCGAAATCAAGTGTTTTTTTTTGCTGAAATTTATTCTTTTTGTGTACAAACAAACGTTCATAGTTTACCAAGTTGTTTAAACATAGGAAGTTACGTGTTTCTGATATTATTTCGAACCAATTTTTTGATTCACTTCACTTTTAGTTTGCGCAATTGATTTTAATGAAATAAAGTTTTATTCAGAGAACCTTTAGATCTCAATGTTTACTAATGTTATTATTATCATTATTATTTAGTATTAAACGGGAAAAAATCCAATAATATAAAAGAAGAATTAAAATGCACACGCAGAAATAAAAAGAATTTAAAATTGTTTATCATTTCAAACGTAAAAAATGTTATTTTTTATGAAAACTTCTTTTGATTTTAAAAAATATGTTATATATATATATATATATATGGAATCACGTGTTTGTTTTTTGTGTTTGTTTAACAGAACCGCAGTTTATGCTGAGCCTGCCGAGTGGATCCTGGCGGAAGTCACTTCTGCTGACGGTTCTCGCTCTCGTCCTGCTGCTATCAGCCGGCGCATTTTACGCACGCTGCTGGTTGCCGCTCGCATTACTCTGCAGGGACAAGTTTGGTCGTCTCGAGGAAAACGGTGAGTACATAAATCGCAAATAAGTTCTTTGCGCGATCTTTTGCCACCTGGGAATCGCATTCTGAAATTCTCTTGACCTGCGAGAGCACGGGAATTTTCTAGAAATTTGAGATTTTGAAGATCGACGATTTCGGTCATGAAATCTTCTTTTATATCCTTACGAGATAGCAAAAATTTCTCTTTTCATTTTGCAAAATGCGAAAAATTCACAAAGTTTCGTAAAAATCTCTAAAAGTTAACGAATTCAAAGTACCGGGGGTATTTCAAACACGGGGGAAACTCTGAAGGAAGTAGAATTTAATATTCCATGCACACGAATGAGAGAGAAAGGAGCAGAGTGAGAAGCGCACCCCTCCCTCCCCCCTATTTTCCGTTGTTCAAAACTTGCTTTGATTCGAACGATCTAAATCACCGGAATATATATATATGTATACATATATATATCTCTCTCTTTCTCGCTTAAAGACGGGAAATACATAGCCTGACGTTAGAACTCTTCGAGTTCGCATAGATCGCGCGAGAATCTTCCTTTTAATCCCGGGACTAAGAAAATCCTCGTCGGCCAAAGGTCTTCCTGCGCCTTCGTTCGTTATCCTTCTCGTTGCAATAGTCCACTGTTTTTTTTTTTTTTCTTTTTTTGCGGCGACTAATTCGCCGCGGCTGAGAAACGGTAGGAGGTGGTAGGAGTGAGTGGGATGCTACCGGGTAATTATCAGTGACGCTTTTTCGCCCACTTAATTGCAACTCTTAATTACCGCGAGAAGTACCGCGGGACTCCGGCATGGAAATTAAAGTGGCTGTTCCGTGATCCTTTTCCCGCCCTCCACTCCGCTGATTGCCGTCTTAATCCTTCCCGCTTTCTTTCTCGCGTTTCCGCCCCCGCTTCGTCGCTTTACTCTCGATTTGTTTAAATAACGCTGATAGCAGAAGCGAGCCTCATGGGAATCCTTTGCCGGTGTTTGCGTTTTAAGATCCTCCGAGGAGCTTTTTTCCTTCTTTGCCGCCGCCGCTGCTGCTGCCGCCGCGTCGCTTCGTCCTTATGTATTGCAAATTGAAAGGGGTGAATTTTTTACGAGACTGCTTATCTCCTGAAGAAAACACGGGACCCGGGAGGTTAATCCTATAAGTGATATCACGCGCTGATAGCTTTTTTCTTTTACGGCAATAATATTATTCAACGTGCTATCTATAATTAAAATTTAAATTGTACAATCTATCTGATACTCAAATCGCGGAAGGGAAAAAAAATTCGCTTCGAAATTATATAAGTTTACTTTTGTTTAGATCTCAAAAGACAGAAACGAAATTCTAACGATTTGCAATTTTTTTTTCTGAAAGTCGCGGTTTCACAAAAAAAATAAAAAAAAAAAGCATCTTATATTGTGAGAAAAATACAATCTTGTGATGCAAAAAAAATGCGCTCCTTTTGCCAGCGCCGAATTTAATCCTTCTAAAAGCAAAGGGGGTCGGATAACGGGAAAAAAGGGGGAGAAAAATTTTTGCAGTCACAAAAGACGACACAGTGTCGTTTTATCCCTCCGGGACGTTTTCCCGGAAGAAGAGACTCGCATAAATAGGAGTCTCGATTTAGTCGGGGCTTAATGAGCTGCGTCTTTCTTCCTCTTCTCGGCTTTTTTTTTTTTTTTTTTTTTTTTTTTTTTTTTTTTATCTCTTTCTTCTTCCTGTTTTTTTTTCTCGCCACCACCGATCGCACTTTAATTCTTCCCGCTCTCTTGCAATTTACTTAAGTAACGCTAATTCCGCCGGCGGCAGGAACTTTCAAAGGATCTTACGAGGACTCCTTTCTCCCGGACCCGTACCCGTTTTCTCGGTGCTTCAATATTTCAGATGCGCCGTAATATGAACAGCAAAACGGCGTAACTTGTTACATCGAATCTTCCTCTTTGCGCATTACGTTTAACAATTAAAGTAAGATTATTGCCAACGTTTAATTCGCACCTTCTGATTTAAGATGATAAAATGAGGCGGGCGAAGAGGACTCGCGGAGTTTCTCCATCCCCCTATTTCGGAGTTAAAGCACGCGTTCAAGAATATATATATATATATATGTGTACACGCATTTGTATACACAGAAAATTCTCGATTATTACGCGAAATATTACGATAATTATGCTGCGATATATCACACGTAAAATGATGGTAAACGTATTCGTTTCCAAAAATTTGTTGGTGGAGAATTATTTCATGAAATTTTTTAACAAGTTTTAAAATAACTGTTTTTGCAATCTCGTTTTGCGAGAATTCTTTTACATTTTGTAAATTTTTATTTCTTTTTAAAATTTCAATAAATTTTCTCTCTCTCTCTCATTAAAAACAAAAAATATCCCAAATAAGAATAAAGAACATTTATATATAAATTATACATATATATATATCTTGAGGGAATTCGAAGTTATTTCGAAAAGCTCCGCTGTAAAACCCTCAATCTGAAAGATACATCTCTCTCTCCGGTGTTTCTTGCTCGCGTCCCTTCCCGAGACGAGCGGTCCGGAATTGCAACGTCGCGCCGCATCGGGCCCAATTATGCAGGCCTGCAATTTGTGGCATTAGCCATGCAACGAGATATCATTAGCCCGACCGCGTGGTCGGCTCGACGGAAATGATACTGTCACGTCGTCGAGAATCTTCACCAGACGGCGGAGAGTTCGTTGTTTTCTCCGCTCCGGAGCTATATAATGGTAGAGCGGCGGCGCGGCGGAGAAACGTCTCTCCCTGCGCGTTCCGGGAATCGGTCTCCGGTAATCGTCGTAATTTTCTCTCGCCGTTGCCCCCGTATAAGGCGGCGACATCGTGAGACATTTGTTCGTCGTGAGAAATCGAGCGGCAACAACGCGCGACGTCGCGTCGGACTTTCGCGAACAAAGTGAGCGGGCTTCTCTCATCTGCGAGTCAATCGTACCGCGTCGCAAAATGGCTGCGGCTCGGAAACTGTAACAACAGTTTGCTCTCTCAGTGCAGCTTCGTTGCTCCGTTCAACGAACATTTTAACTTTTAACGCAAATTTGTATTATCTATAACATGTACGTAACAATTTTCGTAGTTCACTTTAATAATTTTCTTAGTTCAGTTTCCTTCAGTTTCCTTTCCCGTTTTAGGGGAGGAGGTTTGGTTGTGCGGTTGATTTAAGAATTACGTTTTTAATTGTGCGGGCGTTTTTTTTATTTTCTCTTCCGTTCGCCTTTCCGGGGAAATGCTTGATTCGATAAATCCGTTCCGGGGGATCACGAAGAAACGAGAAAAAAAAAGGACGGCCGTAACCGATTTCTTTAAACGCCCCGGTTGCGTCATATAAGCGCCACCGCCATTACGGGCGCACATTATTTACCTCTATGGGACGTTTTGCGCGCATAATGGCGAGCGGACGATAACGATTTAATCTATTTCTCGAGTGAACGGTTACGCGCGCGGCTTTCCCGACTACGCGGCGAATAAATTTCGAGTAAACGGAAGCGATAATGCGCGAATTATTACGCCCCTCTTCCTCTCGCTCCCGTTTGCTTCCTCTCTCTCGCTCTCTCTCGTCCCCATCACGCCTGCTCCACTTAAACTCCCTCGCTCCCGGGATCGAATGGCTCGTGCAGAGGCGCCAAATTTCTGCTTTATATTCATAAAGGGGAGCGCGAATCTCCCCGCCCTCGCATATCACGCGAAATACGATCGTATCTCTCATTGTGCCGAGAAATTACTCGAGATCGCAAATTAATCCGTTTTCGAAATCAAAGATCGTAAAATTTGATTTTGCTCGAATCGTTGTTTTTGTTAGTTTTTGGAAAAGTCAATGTTTTTTTTTGTAAGATCGCGGGGAAAAAGAGGAATCTTATAGGGACTTCCTTTTTTCCATTAAGTCGGCGCCGCGCCTCGCCTACTCAACACTACGGTGTGAGTTGCACGAATTCTAATCTATTGTGATGCTAATTGGGTGTTAATTGGGCACTAAAGTCGGCAATTACGTGCGCTCAAACCGGCTCGATAGGCAATTAGAATCTAAATAGAGTATCTGACGTTTCTCTTAGTGTTATTTATTTTTGGTAAAAAAAAGATATTTTGCGCATTGAGGAGAAAATTAAACATCGGATGTTTTTAATCAAAACGCTTGATTAAAAATATTTCGAAAATTATACATTTTGTCTTTGCACGTGTGCTTTTCTTTTTTTGCAAAAAGGTATTGCGCATTGAAGAGAAAATTAAACATCGGATGCTTAATCAAACGCTTGATTAAAAATGTATTTCGAGAATTTTATATAGCGAGCGAAGTGCGTTTAACAAATTTTTGTCCTCGCATTTTTGTTTCCGCGTCCTCTTGCTTATTACTTGCAATGTGAAAATATTAAAACTAACTGTTTCAAAAACTAACGAAACAGTTTCGCAACATGAGAGACATAGATTTTTGCACAAAAGTAAAAAAAAAAAAAAGAGAAATAAACGAATTTAACGAAAAATTTTGATTTTGTTATATTTTTATTTTTATTTTTTTTTTTTTTTTTTTTCAAGGATTGTTCGTATTATCGACATGTGTCTCTCTCGTCACTTTTACGTCTTTGTCTCTGAATTGTTACTTTCGATGGCGTCTCTGGCGCGCGGAAAAAAAAAATCGCATGTAATCACGAGACACGTAATTATGCATTACAGACGGGAAGGAATGCGACGCGCTGGTTTGCTACCACGAGAAGGACTCGAGTCTGGTGATCGGCATCGTGATACCCACGTTGGAGTCCAGGCATCGATACAAATGCACGGCGCTCGAACTGTCTCACCTGAATCACAATTGTGAGTATTGCCTCTCTCTTCGCTAATTAACGACAATACCTACTCCACTCGTGCAGTTACGTGGTAGTGGAGTAATACGGAGGAATATATACGGTTGGAATACCGAAGTACACCGGAGTTATTTCATTTCTATTCTGGGTCTCTCGTCTGGGGTTTTTTTGTTTGTTTTTTTGTAACGAAGAGAATTTTCTCTCGCATGAATTTTAACATTAAATTTCCAAATTGACGAGATTAAATTAGCTTTCGGTTAATTCGATACATAGTTGCAATTTAATGTGTTTCAAAGTCCGTCGCGAATGTGCAAATATTTTTCGTCGATTTGATTCGCTCAAAATTTTGTGTCAATTACTTTTAATTAACTCTTTGTTTTTTTTTTTTTTTTTTTTTTTTTTTATATTTTTATGTGGAGATTTTACTCAATCTCGAACGTACGTGTGTAAAGTGATTTGAGAACAAAATTTTTTTCTTTATCTCTCTT